TATTTCTATCTCACAAACTCAGTATAATAGTCATTCAATTACACTGGCGGATTAGTTTACAGGTAGTACACCGCCCTCCCCCACCTCGGCCCGCTTTTCTGTCGAATATATACATATGATTTAATAATTCAATAATTTTTAATAAAATGTAATTTACCAATTTAATAAATATTAACAACAAATATTTATTATATTTCTGTATATTTTAACACTGATAAACTCTTAACTCTGGTAAACAACAGCACCCCCCTCCCCCTTTTCTCTTTTCAAGATTCCTGGATTCGCCACTGAAATCTGCGTCGCCGTGTGAAATAGTAGTAAGAAAGTCTGCTTTAAAGTCGCGGATTAAGGAGATAATCCTTGTGTTGCAGGTTTGAATCCCTCTGAAGGACGTGGAGACCGGTCCTCCAATGAGACCGTGTAAACCGAGGTCCCTTGTCGCAGTTGGTGCTGGCACGAAAAAGGTCCCTCACTGTGGAGGGGACCAGGGCCCCATTTTCTTGACATTATATGCATAAGATTTAATAATTCAATAATTTTAGTGTGGTTGTTGGCTCCCTAACTCTGTCAAACAACCGCTCCACCCCTCCCTGTCGCTGTTGGTGCTGGCACGAAAAAGGTCCCTCACTGCTCAATGACCCGGGGTGTCGAGCAGCTTTCCAACGGCAGTTGTTAGTGTTCCCATGAGTGGAAAATTGGAGCAAGGATCTTTAGGCAGCATTTAAACACCTTTGGTTTTCGTTTCTTACATGACCACATTTAACGATAGATGCCTGTCTCCAGTTGGTAATACCCCCCCCCCCCCCCCTGGACATTCTCCATTCGCAATACACTTAACAACCAAACTGCATTAACCGAAATGCAAATAAACATATAGAAAGAAAATATATCAAGTACTATACCTCAACTCTTTTTATTTTTCATTAAAATCAATCCACGATTATCTATAATTAATCCATGTTTGATGATTAATTTATATTGATAAATTGTTTATATATACTGACATTTCCAATTTTCGGCATAGGGATTTATATATAATAACCCCATTGTAAATTACATATGAAATAAATATAAACTACTAATCGAATAAATATGATTAAAGAATATTTATTTTATTTCTGTTTATCTTAACACATGTGGAATATTCCATGTACGAGTGAATAGGTCTCTAGTGATGACGTATTACGCATCTTATGAACGACAACTCGATATATGAACGATAACTCATGTTCGACTTCTTTTACGCCATAGCATCTAGTCATTACCATTAAAAAATTACCAATGAGAATTATATAAGAAATATGACTTTATGGAATCTTGTCAAAATGCCTGATAAGGAACCGTAATTTTTTGTGAGGAAAAACCTGTATAGATATCTTTACTTAAAAAATAAATTATTTTAAAAAAAGTATATTTTTATGAACGTGTCGTCTGATCTTAAAGTACAAATTTTCTGATGAAATTTGTTTTTCACTTTGAATTGATAAGGTATTAATTAATGAAATCTGTCATTTGGCAGGAGAACTAAGAAACATGAAATGGTAATTATTGCAAATGATTTTTTTTATCAATATGACACGTTCTTGTTTAATATTGATATTAAATTACAGTGTCTGAATATATTGTACCTAGCTTTATACTTAGCAGTATACTGTTCATTTTATTGAACTACTTTTACCCTTTTCATATCCGTATATAAGGGTTCAACCAAGCAGCAAAGCTCTTATATATCGCATTATAATTAGATCCGTTAACCAGAAGAAAGTATGGTTTATTGAACTTCTGAATTTTTTGCACCCACCAGCTACCCCATCTGTCACCAAACCTTGTATTTCTTTTATGTTGACATTTCTTGGTATGTTTTAGGCATTTTTTATTTTGTTCAAATGGTATAAAGGTATTTTTAGTATTTATTCTCTAGCGCATGCTCTAACACAACAAGTAAAATGTTTGTACATTGTAATAAATAGGAATTTCCTGATATTAGGTAACTGAGAATGAATCCAAAATTCATTTTGTGTATCTTGCAATATTGCTGCGGACTGTAAGTTTTCATATGATTTTTCTAACTAAGTGTAGTTTTATCTATGGTTATTTTCCTGGGCGTCAAGGGAAGCATAGCTGTGTTCATCTTAATGCTTGACTGATTGATTTGTTAAAAGCTGTATGTTATTTTGGTTTCCTGCCTTTTTTATGATAGGCAGCAATTCAGAGCATTGTGTATATGTATTCGAATGATATTAATAAAGGGGTCAACTTGAATTGCATTTGGGTATCCACTTTCTTGCTTTACACCCGTGAAAATTAAAAATTTGTCTTTTATAATAAAGCTGATATAAGAGCAAAAAAAACCCAACCTCAGACAAGAACAGTTATGTGTAATTTTTTTTTCTTTTCAGTTTTTGATACTGTAACATCAATCATTTCCTTCGGGATTTAATTTTCGTTGATGTCAAGAGAGAGATCCGAATTCATATCCACCAAAAATGCAAAATGGCATATATATTACAAGAAAAAATATCACTCGTGAGATCAATCCCCAAAGCATAGTAATGTGGTTTAAAAAAAACATGAAAAATGACCCCTTTAGAAATATGTATCATTACAGTTAAGTCATATCTCCTAACATTAAACTACTAAGAAAAGCCAACCCTGGATATATGTAATACAGTTGTGGTAACATGGTCCAATACGTGCAAAATCGTACGTTAGAATGCTCGATATTGTCATCAGCCATGTTGTTTTCGTAAAAGGTAACTAACAAAGGATAGATCGTCGTATACATACATGAAACAGCTCGATTTGAAATACGTTACATATACATAATTCGAACCAGAGCAGTTAACGTCTGAATTAAGCTTTTTAATCTCAATAGACTTATTCAGACCAATGAAAAACTGATCTTTTAGATCGTTGCTACAGCTCTGAACAAGGGAAGTGAAGGTCCTCTTTCCAAAGTTGAAATTAAATTCTCTTTCAGCAAAACGTTTCATCCTGTTTTTCCTTTTTTTCTATCAGGTTTACGGTTTTTATCCTTTCAATTTTAATTTTCATATATCGATTAAACACGTCGATAAAAATTCTTTCAAACACGGTTTAAGAATCCATATGATTCTTATTCCTCTTTTAGAAAAGAAAAAAAAGTCGATTTTTTTTCTTTTTGATTTCTTTTTTCCCTCATTTCTTAATACTGTAAAATCACAGATTTTCTTCGGGACTAAATTTCCATTGCTTTCAAATAAGGAAGAGTTGCATGGATTCATGCCATTGAGGAAATGCTAAATGGCATATATATTACTTTCAAAAAAGTAAATAATCGTCAGATTAACCCCAAGCAACAGTGTTCATTAAAACTTGAAAAAAATTGCCTCTTGAAAATATTTAATTATTGCAGAAAATTACATCTCCTGAAATCAAACGACTGAGAAAAACCATCTTTTCATATGCGCAATACAGGTTCCGCTGCATGGTCCAGTTGGTGAGAATTGGTACGTTAGATAGTAAAGCTCAATGTTGTCAGCAGCCATCTTGTCTTCGTAAAACGTAACATACAACGGATCGTCGGATACATACATAGAACACGTCGACTTGAAATACTTTCGATATTCTTCATTAGATCTAAGGCAGAATACGTCGTCTGAATTGAGCCTTATAATCTCTCCAGACTTATTCAGTCCAATGTCAAATTTCTCGCTAACTGAAGCGCTGTTACAGCTCTGAATAACGGATGTATAGGTTGTAGATTGCTTTTCGGATGACCTGTTGATTCCAACTAAACAGTTTCTTCCCAAGAAACTGGTCTGTACATATTCGTCTACTGCATCACTCAAATGAATGTACAATTCTTCTAAGGCAGATTTTGACTTCAACTTAAGTAGGGGCAACCAACCCCAAGTGTCATCAAAGAGAACCATTTCAAAGGTTGATGAGCCATCGTTTGAGTTCGAAACTAAAATTAAAAAAAAAAGAAATTCCGAGTGTTCAATTAAATTAGATTACATGAAATAATTGCAAAAAACAGATCTATGGACCTCATAGGTCACCTGAGCATTATGTACCTAAATTCCAAATGTTGAATTTGGTTCATATCTTACATATAAACCAGATCCCAAATTATTAATAATTTTAATAGACGCCTTATTACTCATCATTACTGTACACTTCGATCCATCAAGATAAGCTCTCAAGGTGACCAGACGTGTTTTACAGTGCTCCTCCTTATCTGTAATTACCTATGCTGTTAATCATGGTAAATAATGGAATCGATTAATCTGAATGAAAATACAAGTCTGTTCAAATATATTTTGGATACTTTTGGATTTTCATTTTTACACGGAAAAACTAATGCTGATAATGAAGATTCTTTAATTGATGTACCAGATTTCTTACGAGTGAAACTCAACCAACAGAGTATCACCTTGAACTATGATGAGGATAGGACTGAAGACATTGTGAGCACTCTAAACAGTGAACTTCTGTTTGCCAAAAATGGGTTCAAAAACGGAAGTATTTATAAATCAGAAAATGGCAATGTTACAGCGACAATATATAAATCAACTCAGACAATCCATGTTCAAGGGAGTGAGAGATTTGCATGGCTACGAGAATTCATTGGACAAATTCCTCACCTGCCAATAACTGAGGTTAGTAAAATTGAAGGGATGCTACAGCCACAAAATACTTCCACCCCTAAACCTTGTAAATTGCAAGATATGGAAAGCAGACCATGTCATAACTGTAACAGTTCTCAAATTATTCAAAAACTGACAAAGTCTGTTACTGATCTTTCTGAGGAAGTTGCGAGACTGAAAATGGAGTTGCATTCTCTTCAGAACAAAAACACTCAATTAGTAGATGCAACTACTCAAACAAGGGAACCACCTACAAAAACCAAAGCTGTTGATGCGCGTGATATAAAGGATACTTGTGTAGAAGGCGTGTCGAGACATACATAGTGTACCCGAGTTGAGACAAGGGAATTCTCAGTTTCCACGGAAACCTTGTCAGCTCAAAAAGAGCAGAAAACCTCCAACAGACCGGAAAAGAACCGTACCCTGGAGACCGACATTCCATCTGGAAAATCTGTTCTTGTAATAGGTAGCTCAATCTTACAGCGAATCCGTACCCGTGCATTACTAAAAAATGTTGCATTCCGTACAAACAGAGGGGCTCGGCTGTCCGATATTAGACGGATTCTTCAGGGAATTGACCTACTCAAATTACAATTCATTGGAATTATTCTCTGACCCTAATGAAGCACTTAATGAATTTTATTCACTTTTTAATGCGGTATTAGATAAACATGCAAAATTAAAAACAAAAACAGTTAAGCACGACACTAGACCTAAATGGTTAACTCAAGAAATTCAGCAAGCTCAACACATACAGTACCCGCATCGTTATTCTTTACAGGATACACGATACGATAGGATACACGCACGATACGATAGGATACACGCACGATACGATAGGATACACGAACGATAGGACAGGATACACGCACGATAGGATAAACGCAAAACACGATAAACGAAAACACGATACACGCAAAACACGATATACGCAAAACACGATAGACCTGATAAACGATCTTCACGATAGGATAAACGCAAAACCTGATAGGATTGTTTCAAAATGCGGAACGTTTTCTGACAAGACGAACGGATTATTTTAAATTAAATTCAAAGATTAAAGATTATTTAACTTAAATCATATTTTAATTTAAATACTTGCAGAGCTTCAAATGTAAATTATAATGTACATTAAATTATTTTAAAAAGAACTTGAGATCTCTGCGGTAATTTTACAAAAGTTGTTTATTTATTTATAAAACATTGACAGTGATTAAATGGATTATTATTAAATGAGACAGTATTTTTTTAACTTCTTGTCACGGGTGTGAATTTTGAAACTCTGTAAACAGATTTATTATTTATGAAAAAATATGCATTTTAATTTTATATCTAATAAATTTATCTATAAGTGCCAAGTAATTTCACGGAAAAAATTTACGCAATAAAGTAAATATTTGTATTTAATGTCTAAAGCTTACAATCTGCGTTGTATCCAAAAATCGTAATTAAATATTAATATCTTACAAAAAAATACAAGTAGAAGACCGGCTGAAAGAAAGGTTCAAAGAAAACGGCTTTAAAAAATCAATAAATTTAACTTGATAGATGTATCAAGAACTAAACAGTTCAAGAAAATTAATTTCCTGAATAGAAATCTAAATAATTGTTAAAATAATGGCGCTCTTCATTAATACATGTACATGTAAACTGTGTCATGAGAATATGAATCTGCTACAACTGCACATGTACGTTTACGCTAAGCTCTGACTTATGTACACGTAAACATTTATATATCAGATACTTAAAACCTCGTATTTACTAATGAACATTGAATGGTTAAATACTTTTTTCTTTACAATACCAAACAGAAAAATTAGTTAACAAATATAAAAAGAGTGAAATGCGACTTTTCCGACTAAATAATAATAAATCATTGCTATTAACTCTGTGTGTACTGTTACTAATAATTACAAAAATAGGTTTAATTCGGCAAATGAATTATTAAACCTTAAAAATTATTTAGACTGACCCGGTAATCTCATATGAGGCATATTTGAAGGTCGGGATGTTGAAAGTCCGTAACCAATTTAAAATTAGATAAACAAGATCTAACCAAATAGCCAAATATAATATTGAATTCTTAAATCAAGTTGTATACGTTTGGAATTAAATCGATTAATACTATAAATTGATTCGGTGTGAATATTTACTTGTCTTGTATGGTCACGGCGGAATCAGACGACTTCCTTATGTTTTATTTTTATAGTAAAATACCGTAAAAAATAATGCGAGCTAATTTTCATAGTTTAGAATGTTAGAACTATTTCATCCGTTTCTACGATCAATAAAATTGTTTCCTAGAATTAATTTTGTCCGTATTACGTAGAAAACCCGATGATCCTTGCATGTACCATAAGTGCAGTATTTTTTTAAAAGTTCATTAAAAGACTTATTTACATAAACATAATGGAAACATTGTACGAAATGAAATAAATCAGCGGAGTGAGTTTTGGGACTTCATTTTATCAAATTGATTTATTTGAATTTTTATTTAACATTCAAGCAATGAGATGATTTTTTAATCCATAAATTGTACAATTATTTAATATATTTTTAATTAAATCTTTGATAAGATTGTTCAAACAAGTTAAGAACAAAATCCCGAAAATAAGTAGATGCGTTTCATAAGAACCAGGTAGTATTCGAGGTTACTAATTGACCCAAGGTGAGAAATCAGTACAGGTATGTTGACGGTGATCACCCGAGGTGTCAGTTAGGGGAGAAGGGGGGCGGGGTGGTTGACCGCATTTAGAGAGCTACACATACGTGTCAGTTTTCTGGTCAGGAAAGGTCCTCGATTTATTTTGATTTTTGGCATCCCGATGGATTGTGTTTTCAGTTTATTTCCACGCCGAAAAGGTAAGCTATTAAAAAATATTATGTTTTTCCATGTAAATATTATTTTTATGTTATCTAATGCCAGATAAAATTAATGAACAATATTGCATGAAAAAAAGATTCATATCAATATCCTGCTTATTATTTATTTATTTTAATAGTATTTAATTTTGACAAAATAAATCATACAATTCGATAAATTATTTTTTTACAAAATAGACCAGCTAGGTGATCGATCTACTTATAATTTCATTTCCGCAAAATAGAGTTACTTTTTAAATTTTGACAATCACTCTCTGCTTTACCGTGAGATAATTGATTTAATTATTTATCAATAAATCAATTTATTCATTCATGAAGTACGCTATATTTTTTCCTTCTAAGCTTTAATATTTCTTATATTGATAAAAAAGAAAGGGATAAAATTTTATTTTCTCTTTTTCGGTTGCATTAATCTTATTTTTATTAACAAAACGAAAAAGACACTCGGAATACCTCAGTAGTTTCTTTGTATAGTAAAGATAAAAAGCGAGGGTTTCCGAATATACACGATAAACGCAAAACACGATACACGATAGAACCTGATAAACGATCTACACGATAAACGCAAAACATGATAAACGGAAAACACGATAGAAAACGCAAAACCTGATAAACGGAAAACACGATACGATAGGATACACGCACGATACGATAGGATACACGCACGATACGATAGGATACACGCACGATAGAACACGATAGAATTGTAAAGAATAACGATGCGGGTACTGTACGTGATAGCCTCCTTAAAAATAAAGACTTTGTAAATTTCAAAATATGGCGCAATAAAGTTACATCACTGATTGAAAACGCCAAGATTAATTATTACAAAACAGCTATAGAACAAAACAAAAACCCAAAACAAATGTGAGATGTACTAAACAATTTAGCCTCTAAATCTAGTAATTATATTCCAGCTGCACTTGCTAAAAATAATCATATCACAGAGGACACACAAGAAATAGTAGAAATGTTTAATTCTCATTTCTCAAATATTTCTGCAGAACTTCTTTCAGGCATAAGTAAGGAGGAAAATGACTTGACAGATCTCTTAGATTTTGTTCAGTCTAAATTGGGTGCAGACAAGTTTTCTATCCCACTCACAAATCATGATGAAGTACTTTACTCAATAAACTAGATACAGCAAAACTCGTTTAGTACGAACACGGTTATTGCGAATTCAGGGATATAGCGAAGTCATTTTGGATCCCCAGCTACATAAATTTATTGAATTTCTTATACAGTTATAACGAAATACGGATATAGCGAAGTAATTTCATTTGTCCCAGCGACTTCGTTATAACCGAGTTTTACTGTATTAGTAAATCTTCAGGTGTTGATACCATCGGGTCACATTTATTGAAACTTACTTCACAAATAATATATAAACCTGTAACCCATATTATAAATACTAGTTTTAAAACTGGCATTTTTC